ATTGCAACGCAAAGATTTTCACTATTCACAGGCAAAATGTCTGTGGATATACTGTACAAGTAGCAATATGGTTTATAACGATTTAATTACCTCGTTATGTTTATGCTGGCTTAAACCTGACATTAAGTATTTTCGACTTGTTGCCAAAAAAAAAAAAAAAAAAACGGCGGAAAGACGAAATAACAAAAAACAAAATGTCAGGTATAAGCCACCATACCTGTTTGTTTTCTGATCATGAGTTTCCTTTGATAAACTAAGGCAACATTTGATCACGATTTGTCAAACTTTCAGGGTACCTTGTATACCATAGAACTTTATATAGGTGTCATGTTTGATTAAATTAGATAGATGGAGGTCCGTTTAATGTGTATTCATACGCAAGATATGATGTCTCTCTGTGCGTGTCATTTCTTGTGCTTGAAATAATGAAAAGTTTCAGTATGTTTATATTGAAGCGATGCAAAAGTATATATAGATTATATCATCTACCTAATGAATGAGAAACTCGTAAATTTATCTGTGAAAACTACAACATATCACATTTTTCTTACGGTTTCTGAAGGAAAAAATGGAATGAGATAGCGTCTGTGTTGTATCTATTTACTATCAGGTCTTCCATTCAGAGAGAGTGTTCTCAACATATTACAGGTGTGCAATTTATTGGTGGATTCCACTCGAAGATCTATCGAGAGTAAATTCTTATTGAAGTTTAGAACTTGGTTTGCACTCTTTATTTCGATTTCTTTGGATTTTCCTTAGTTGCCTCTCTTCAAAATTAAGGCTCTTGGCATCACTGACGAGTCCTAGAAGGCCGGAACAGCTGTATGATGCAATTTACTTCATTGCTTGGCTTTACTGTATCTAACTTTACATTATTGACAGATGTTATTCACTTCTGTCTTCTGTACAATCTTTTATCTAAAACCTATAATGTACAAGCAAATAACTTTCTCGTATTCATTATAAGTATTATTATTTACCAAATATTTCTATGTTTTTCTTTTCATTTTAATTTTTTGTTTTGTAAACATGGTTGTTCTATTTGCCCTTAGTATCAGATATTTAGCAGTTACAGTATAGAAAACTTTCGTCTCATCGTGATACCCCATATAATGACAACACTGCGCCGATTTCTGCTGAAATGACAATGATCATATATAGGTTAATGTGTAAAGGTTGTATCTGCTGTGGTCACTGCGCTCTCTCTACGTTTATCGGTCTAGTAATTAAAAAACACAAACCTTATCTACATCAACCCATCGCATTAGCGTAGTAGATATTTATCTCTTAATTACGATCCAGAAAGTACTCCTGGCGGGGCAATGAAACGTGGAAAAGAGGGATAGTTTATGAATGGTAATGCTATTAAAAGCCTTAGTACGTAATATAGGTCTGTTCTAGAGTATGCATATGCCAGCTCACTATTGCGATTCTATAGGGAAGGTATGGGAAAAAGACCGTAACCCATTACGTTGTTTTTCTATTAACCAATATTACCCTTGAAACCAAAGTAAACAGCGAACTTCCGCCCATCTTTATCCATATACTGTCTTGGTGAAGAGGTAAAATATACCGAGGTTAGAAAGTGCTTTGTATAATTATTAAGTCAGTGATCTGAAAATGTTCAATACAAAGAGAAATTGTTTACTAATGGATAATTATATTTCTCCGTCACTGAAATTAGACAGGGAATTGACAAACATTTGCTACGGATGAGATCTGATGAGAGCTACCATCTATTAAAACAACAAGAAAATACCAACATATCGCCATTGTCATAACCAAAACTCAAATTCAATAAAACTAGCGCAAAATATACACCTATTTCTTGGCAGATTAGATCTTTCACTTAAAATACAAATCGTTTTTGTGAAATCTTAATCCGTATAAGGATAAATGTATTGTGTTATGTATTTTGTTTGAGTGGAATATGAACCCTGTAGATTGAGTATTTGGTATAACTGGTAATACTGAAAGCATCAGAAATTATCATTGTATTATCTCAGTTACCTATTGTTAAGCAAAACGAAATTAACAGACAGAAAAAAATCTCTAAGACATTTGAGATAGAAAATTTCGGTGGATGTGCTTAATCTAGGCGAAAGGCATCTTTCATGATGAGATGTTACTATACATGTAACGATGAAATTAGTTACGATTAAAAATTATCGTTGAACGAGATTTTTCAGTGAAATATGTCTTATTTCTCTATCAAGTGGTTAATTCCTACAAAGTTCAGTTTGATCTCCCACAGAATTTATCTATGCCGAAGTCATGAAAGAATGTTTAATTGATGTTAGGAATGTTTAATTGACGTAAAGAATGTTTAATTGATTTTAGGAATGTTTAATTGATGTTAGGAATGTTAAATTGGTGTTAGCAACTTAAATTGATATTAGGAATGTTTAATTGATTAGGAAGTTTAATTGATGTTAGGAATGTTTAATTGATGTTAGGAATGTTTAATTGATGTTAGGAATGTTTAATTGGTGTTAGGAACTTAAATTGATGTTAGGAATGTTTAATTGATGTTAGGAATGTTTAATTGATGTTAGGAATGTTTAATTGGTGTTAGGAACTTAAATTGATGTTAGGAATGTTTAATTGATGTAAGGAATGTTTAATTGGTGTTAGGAACTTAAATTGATGTTAGGAATGTTTAATTGATGTTAGGAATGTTTAATTGATGTTAGGAATGTTTAATTGGTGTTAGGAACTTAAATTGATGTTCGGAATGTTTAATTGATGTTAGGAATGTTTAATTGATGTTAGGAACTTAAATGTTGAATTAATTTTCTCATGAATTCCTAGTACTACGGTTACTATTTAGCCGTGGTATTTTTATGTTTCATGATTTATCAATGCGAGGACAGTTTCCTCAATCGGCAGCATAAGGGAGTGATTCCTTCACGTTTATCAGTATTGTATAATGGAAACTAAAAGACCTTCTTTAATTCTAGACTTTGGTATGTAAAGTATGTATAGACTATCTCATATGATATCATTACTTTGTTAAACATCCAAAATCCTTATTAGAGATTTTAAAAAAATCATTATGACCGTTCCAGAGACACCGTATCAAATCTTATTGTGAAAACAAAACTGTTTCATATGAAAATGTGGATGAAATGCAGATAAAGAGACTCCTTGATAACACCGTGATATATGTAAATGTGCGGACGTGTTCCCTTTCATTTTTATATATCTACGTTTGGATTTCTGTACAGTTGGAGATACCCACTCAGTTTTCCACTCATAGTTAGATTTCCATACCTTTCCTACCATTAACTTCAACAGCATACCTATCTATCTATTTATTTACAACGTAGAATAAACATCTAAGTCCTTGTGATTAATTCCCACGTGAGAATGTCTTAGACCCATCGATGGCCATTCCTGGGTTAACACTCAATGGACCTATTGAAAGAATTCGGTGCACATCGGCAATTAATCTACGGAAAAAACGTAAGATTTACACATGTGAGGATTTTGTAAATCATGAAATCAATAAGCATAATATATTTCCCTTACGTGTGTTAATTCTAGAACTTGATTCCGATGTTAATGCGTTCCGTCTGACGATGAATTGACCGCAGTTAATTATGAGTGACAATCTGAATGCGTGTCGCGACTGAATTTTTCAAAGTTATAAATTAAATTATAAAGAAAGTTTAATATGTGAAACTGAGATAACTAAATAAGTAGTATGCTATATATTAAGAACATATCTAGAATAAGATCTGATATCCTTCTACGTTTCAATACCTTAGACCGTATCACCACAGTCGGTTTCTAAAGAACAGCAGTAGATTCTCTTCCATCATTTGGCTACATGCTCTCTAATTCTAAAATTTATATCAAAATTTTCTTTCTTCCATAAAAAGACGTCCATTAATAGTTTGTAAAAATATGTTTTGTTTTGCAAGACTAATGATTTTAGTTAAAAAAGAAGAAACATTGAACTATTGAAATCCAAAAAAAAATCACCCTAGGCAACAATAGAACTTCAATGGTCGTCCATTATCGTTCCTAGCACATAGTTTAAGCCTCGTTTTACAGACAGAAATCACATTTTTTTTAAGTTTCTAAAACATGTTGTACACAGAAATTGACTTTGAATTTTACAAACAAAAGCTTTTATAGTTTAGATTATATAAGCTATGTCAGAAACTCAAATGATACGGCATAAAACATAACCAAGGTGTCTTCTTTCAAAATTATTATGAATTCGTTTCATTTTAAAAAGTGTGCTATCTTTTTCACCGACACGCCCACTGACAAAGCACTTAGCATCATGTGTAGTTGTATAGGGTTCGGTACTAGTAGATCAAAGGGGTACAACACCGACCTCAAGGTGCAGAACAGCATAAACATACTAGAATTTTAGTTTACAACAACATTATCAATACCATCTATCAACAACACTTTAGCACTATTGGGTATGGCCACAGAGTCACTGCCCCTACTGAGCACAAGTTTATACGTATGTAACGATATATTGATTACATATAGTCAAGGAATGGTTCCACTCTTTATATCAACACTGTATATGCCAACAACAACAATAGATTCACCTGAAACGAATAACTTCATAGTCCTATACTCTTCCTTAACTTCCAATCTAATCAACTCTTCCATCAGAAACTCGGCGTAGTACCAAAGTTGCTCAATACATGGTCTAATATTGTCATAGAACAACAGAAACGATCGAGAATAGATGGCATGCATCGCCTAATGCTGAGACTGGAATGATATTTAGAGCTTGAAGAATTAAAATTGGAATATCAACATTTCCGAGTCCTAAATGTAGTAGGTACGTAGAAATCATACCGAGTAAAAGAAAATCAGATTTTTGTCTAGGACAAAGTGTCTGGTGGAGAAAACAATCTTTTAAAGCGGTTATCATCGTGGAATCTTTGCAGTGAAGCAAACATACATAATTTTGTAATAAATACTTTATTATTATATTGCAGTAGAAGAAAACGTCACATTTCATTACAAAGGTTATCAACAGCTTTATATATATATATACATTATGTACAAATATCACGTTATGTACAATAACAATATAATCATTGAAATATTTCGTCTGCGTATGGCAATATGATTAGAAATATCACATGATCAATGGAATCATAAGTGTGGAACTTCGTACGAAAATAAAAGGCATAAAGCTTATTTGTGGTAACCATGAAAGAAGCAGTCATTTGAAACAATGTATCTCACGAGATTTTAGCGAACGAGACCAGAGCCCAGGCTGTCCAACATCCGTTTTTTTACCTCTTCGTTTTGATCAGATCGTTTGATTAAACCGGAACCCATCCTGTCTAAATAGCGCTTGTTTGCTTCAATATCATCGTCATGCAAGCGCTTTATTAAGCCAGATCCCATTCGATCGAGGTAACGTTTGTCCATTTCATTGCTTTCTTTGTCACTGAAACGCTTGATCAGTCCAGAACCCATCCTATCTAACATTCGCTTTTCTTCTTTTGATTCGTCATCGCTTAGGCGTTTGATCAATCCAGAACCCATCCTATCTAACATTCGTTTTTCATCCAATTTATCATCACTCAAACGTTTAACCAAACCTGATCCGATGTTATCTATGAGACGCTTCTCTCCAATGTGACCATCGTCGGCATCATCAGCACGCTTAAGTAAACCTGATCCCATTCTGTCCAGCATCCTCTTTTCATTTACACTTTCGTCGTTGAAGCGTTTTATCAAACCTGCGCCAAGTCTGTCTATACTTCGTTTTGGAGCACCGATCACTTTTGTAGATTTTGTAAAGTCTGGTTTTCGTTTTATCAACCCCATTCCTACCCGATCTAAGGGTCGCTTAATGAGTCCCATTCCGAGGTGATCCAAGGGACGCTTGATCAGACCCATACCTACTCGATCAAGAAGACGCTTTTTAATCAACCCCATTCCAAGTCTGTCCAACATTCGTTTGTCCTGGTGTACACCCTGATGGTCGTTTTGTTCCGTCAGGTATTGGTAAACAAGATCTTCTACTGTTGGCCGAAGTCTCTCTATAACACTATCCTCTCGCTTGACCAGTCCACTTCCGAGTCTGTCCAGTGCGCGCTTTGTGTCAATGTCTTCACCAAAGACACGTTTGATTAGACCACTTCCCAGTCTATCCATACGACGTTTCCCTGCACTAACATCTTCGTCTATGTCTTGGAAACTGAAGATAAAAAGAGGAAAATCTTATTTTTACATTTGAATAGATTTGATTTAGATGGTTTATGGTGCACTTTGACCTCTATAAATCTCTTAGCCATTTACAAAGTCTCGTCTTAAACAGTTGAAAAGCAAATTTGTATCAAATTTTTGTACCATGAAAAGCTTAAAAGACAAGGGAAAATCCGACCTTTCAACCTAAGGCAAGTCTCGTATTTAACAACTTAATAATCCCCCTCAATTTGAGAACCGTTATTTCATCCGAAAAGGAGTGAAGGATTCTATTTATCTCACACGTGGCAGGGACGGGATAACACTCTCTCACATGGAATAAGGACAGGATAATTCTATCTCACACGGGGCAGGGACGGAATAACTCTGTCTCACACGGGACAGGGAAGGGATAATTCTATCTCACACGGGGCAGGGAAGGGAAAACTCTATCTCACACGGGGCAGGGAAGGGATAATTCTATCTCACACGGGGCAGGGACAATATAACTCTATCTCACACGGGACAGGGATGGGAAAACTCTATCTCACACGGGGCAGGGACAATATAACTCTATCTCACACGGGACAGGGATGGGAAAACTCTATCTCACACGGGGCAGGGACAATATAACTCTATCTCACACGGGACAGGGATGGGAAAACTCTATCTCACACGGGGCAGGGACAATATAACTCTATCTCACACGAGACAGGGATGGGAAAACTCTATCTCACACGGGGCAGGGACAATATAAATCTATCTCACACGAGACAGGGATGGGAAAACTCTATCTCACTCAGGGCATTCAAATGGAATGGATAACTCCATCTCACACGATGCAGGACAAGACAACACAACTAGCACGCGCTTTGGCGATACTCCCTTAGTGTAGCACAACACAAGTCCATTATAGATAGTAAATAATGGTCTCGTTCTGACCAGCCAAACTTCTACACCCAGGTTGAGACATCCCTATCTACGGAACATGTACGTTTTATTATAGCGTTACTATTGGGATGCTTACTTCAGTGTGTGTCTTTAAATCCAATTTTGATATTGCAGCTTATTGGAATAAGGATGCGTGTGTTTATTTGTTGATATTTAGACACATGTTGGAAGTTTGTATAGAGATAATGACAATTTCAGTGTTTAAGATTGATCTGAATCCAGATAAAGTCGAGTCAAGAGATATTGTCCTATGTCTTGACGTCAATCTGTAAAAACAATCTTCTACCGCAAACGTCTGTGACCTGTCACTAACTCTAATTTATTGGTTGTAAAACTCCTGAAGTTTTGTGAAACAATGATTATGCATCAATCTATAAATGAGGGCTAGATAAGATTGGAATCGACATGTCTTAAATTTTGTTGAAATGTTCTGAGCTGATATGAAATGTATTTCAGACACCTTAATCCAGTATCGAGATTAGGGGAAGCCATGAAAACAGTTTACATCAGTATCTATCAAATGATTTTACTCGTATGTACTTGATACAAGGACATTGATAGTCTTCACTGAAGTACAAAAAGTACAAATAACTTATACAGAATTTATCTGTGAGGTAGCGATGCTTTGCTTTCGGGAGCATTCGATACGGGGACATTAATATTCCCCAGAAAATAAACGGAACTGTAACGTGTCGGGGGAAAAAGGAGTGATTCAAGCGACAAATTGGGGAGTAGTTGTACTGTTATTTGGAGTTCCTGATGAAAATTAACATTCAGCAATATTGTCTGGATTGTGCTGTCAATAAAACCACAAAATAAATAAATAAATGAAAATATTTCAGCTGTGATAGATACAATCTATCAACGTGATACATATCTCGGATGATGTGTTTTATATCACATAACCGTGTTTCCATCAATTTTAAACATGCAAACATTTGTATTGTATCGTAATACTGGGAAAATTTCGTTAAGAATGGATTTTTTGTAAACTTTAAAAAGAGGAAAGTGAAGATAAGAAAAATCAATAAATAAATAAATAAATAAGTAAATAAATAAATAAACCGTATTTTACACTCAAGCTCTCCGATTTTCGATGTAGATTTGTTCTGAAGACAACCAAACCGAAACCAATAAAACCTAAATTCACGGAATCCCAGGAGTTGATGCTCCATCCTTCATCTTGTTGTTAGTAAATAAATAAATAAATAAATAAATGAGAGTATGAAATTCAATATTTTGTGTGTTTTATTTTAAAGGTAGGGGGTAATCAATTAGTAATTCAAACAAGGAATCATTAAGACTTAATTATTTTTTTCGGATGCTTTATTTAATCCCCATTCCGGTGTAATATAAATGTTCCATTCAACTTGATATGTTGAGTAACACTGCTTCTCACTGACTATTCCATTAATTCTCATTCAATTTAGTTGCTGATAGCCTTATAAAAGCAGTGTATCGTGTTTCGATCAACGTCAACATGACTGTTACATGGATTTATTTTTTCTATGGTAGAAAATAAAGTGTACCTTACGGAGTCGTAGATAATTTTTATTCTAGAAGAAAAGTCAACATGGATAGAATTAACGGATATCAAATTATCATTCCGTAAACCCAATGTCTAAGATATTGACATTGATCTGAAGTGAGAATATTCATGGTGGTGAACTATGAGAACCGGAACAACAGGAAAGAAATCTGATGACAATTTATTTTCCTACTGTACTTTAAGCCGAAAAGATTAATTTACCACAGTGTAATTTACGTTCAACATGTTTAAACATACAGATGATTAACAAAAACAACTCAACTTTAGGGATGAGATTCTTGAATGTCTTAACCTATCCTACGGTAAGGGTTCGACAATTATGTTCATCTCTCGACAATAGAGGTTTTTGTGACAACCTTAAAGCAGGGAAACGCATTACCCGTTTTACAAACTTCCATGAGCAATCTTCCTGTGTTTGTAAATAATCTTGTACATCATCAGAAAACATTAACAAAAGTTCATATACAGTGTTTTATATCAAATATCTAATGACTGTTTTATATTACTTCAAATATTACTCACAACAGTACATGGATAGAAGGTCAGTGCGTTCGATTTGTTATACGTTACTGGTTGACAAAGAATAGTTTGTGCTGTTACGGGAGAAATGAATAAGTGAAAGCAGAAAATATGTCCCGATATTGCAAATTCTCTGTCGGCTTAGAAAAACTTTCTGTCAATTCAAACTACATAAAAACATTTATACACAATATGTTAAACCTATTTTTTTTTATTATAACCGTTAATTAGAATATTGCATTCATATACACAAAACGTCCCTCTGTATGCGTGTTAAAAAGCTTTGCACTATTTACGAAACAGATCCCAATAAATTGAACTTACGATGAACAATGCACTGAGACATGGAAAGAAGTCTACTTGTGTCATTGAAATGCTCTTATCTGACGCATATGCCTGATCGAAAGTTCAATATCAAACATTCAATGAATATGTGAATGATTTTTGCGCGGTATTGAATTGCAGATAATTAAAATTTATATACATAATATTTTTTTCAGTTACAGAAACACGTGTCTGTAATACAAAGTCCAGGAGTACTCATCTGAACTTCAATTGAATGACATTGCATATCCATGTTATCATTTTATAACAAGGCAAGAACCAAATATCATCATGCTCATTTTATATCGAAATTCATTTCTCCGCTTCTGGTAACACAAATGTCTATAGTTGGTATATTTAAATCAATAAGTAGAAGGACTGTTTTTTTGCGAATGAACTAAGTCGGTAGTGTTAACAATACATTTCGACAACTGTTAAGAAAGAGGAATTGCAGTCACCGTCAAGTTTTTATCATATACAATCATCTGGTATTTAGATGTAATTAGTGTAAATGCACAAAACATCACGAAAATACCAAAATGGAAAACTATGGCAAAATATGTACAAAAGAAAAGTCTACACAAAGAATAATGGAAAAGTACTAGGAGAAGAAGGACCGGAAGGGAAAGCGTCTTCTGCTTCATCGTCGGCACCCGCCATGTAAATTTAGGTTAATCCAAGTAAATAATATCAAGCTCTCAAAAGACAAGAAGGTTTACAATAATGGAGCAAAAAATCTTAGCAATACCAAAATGAATTTATTTAGAGCAATATTTAAAGTATATCATATCGAAATTTTCAAAGGGATGAAAATCTGTATCTACAAAGAGTTAATATTTCGTAGTTTTAAAGTCAATTCTTTTTGATATCTTCTTGATTTGTCGATTAACATTTTTTCTTAATTCACACATTCTTGCCTTCAGCTCTACTAAAGCAACACAGGAAGATGAATAAACGATATATAGTGCAAATTTATCGTCCTTATGACGTAGGGTTTTTATCATTAATGTACCTTAAGCCTTTATCAAAGCGAAAGGCCTCACCTAACCTACACTGCTACAATAGCTCCCCCGTCTACACAAATCACTGTTACAGTCTACGGAATGTGATCAAGAGCACATTTACCTTGGCGATTGTAACGTCAAGTGGCAGATGATGACGCGGTAGGGTTTAACACGTCGCCTTGTTCTAACATACACTTGTTAACTTAACAATATATGTTGCCATGTGGCTGGTAATTTTCAAAAATTTCCAAGCGATGAGATGATATTTTCACGTATCAAAATCTCGAGGTCTGGATGTAAAGGACATCTATGACACATGTGTTTCATTTTTCAGGGATTAAATTTTCGCGATTATAGCGAAATAGTAAAAAATATAATCCACGCGAAAATAGCTGGCTGTTCGGTATATTAACTTTGGAAACTACAACACTTCGTAGTTGCGTTATAAACCTGAAAAGATGATACATTGTCTCCTGTTTGGATGTTAAAGCTGATAGAACTATTTGAAGAGATTTAAGGCACTGCTTTTGGAATATTTATCTTATATATATATGCATTAACTGTAGTTACTGTAGAAACAAATATTGAACATTTTTATAATAGTTCTCATTCTTTGTTCACGTGTTTAACTTTTGGAATCAAATAAAGTATATCATGGATAAGAAT